GAGGAGGAGGAGCCGGAGGAGGAGGAGGAGGAGGAGGAGAAGCTGTAGGAGGGGAGGATGAGGGGGAGGAGGAGGAGGGGGAGGAGGATGAGAGGAGGAGGAAGAGGAGGAGTAGAGGATGAGGAGGAGGGGAGGGTAGGGGGAGGGTGAAGGGGAGGGGGAGGATGAGGAGGAGGAGGGGAGGGGAGGAAGGAGGAGGCGGAGGAGGCGGAGGAGGAGGAGGAGGAGGAGGAGGGGGAGGAGGAGGAGGAGGAGGAGGAGGAGGAGGAGGCGGAGGAGGAGGAGGAGGAGGGTCGGTAGTTTGGGATGTTGATGATCTGTACGTTTTTTGGGGGTCAGCTCGAGATCGGATCCCTTCATGCTATGCTGCGCCTGCGGGTCTCCCTGGCCTCTCTTCTGGGGGCGCTCGATTGCCTGGGCAGGGGGGCAGTGGAGTACAGTGGGGACCCATGCCAAGAGACACCCTGCTTCGACGACACGCGTTCGACGACGCGCGGCCCCCGTATGCAACGACGTGCGTGCGACGACGCACGAGTACGTTCGCGACGACGCGCAACGACGAGCGACGAAATGTACAGTGAGAACCCATGCCGAGAAACCCCTACTTGCCTCCAGAGTGCCCTGGGTTTCTTGGGTTTCGAGGGTTTTGCAATAGAAGGCGTGACGCTCCCGCGCCAAGAGTCCATGGACGTCCTGGGGTCTCAGGGTTGGGTTTCTTGTGGAAAGTTTCTTGTGGACCGCCTCCACTGTAGAGATGACAGCGGATGAGAAGTCGATGGGCGAAAACGTTCCACTCTGAATGGTCCAGTTATCCTCTTTTGGGGTCGCGTTCGAAAGAACCCAGCGCCACCCCATCGAAGGAACAGGGTCATATGAATCTCTGCCGGCACGTTTCGGGGCGCCAGGCTGTGAGCCTCCATTGTTGGACTGCGGCATTGCTGGTGCATCTCTTGTCATCTTTTTCCATCTCATATTCTTTTCCAGTACCGTTTATATCTCCCGCGCCGTCCCGTTTCTGCTGTCCACAAGGGGGTCCGCGACGTCAAAGTTGGCTCGCACCTGCTGGGGTTGGGTCCCTCAGCTCCGCAACTGCTCTAGGTTGCTTGAGGATTCCCACTTGGACGCGCCAGACGGCCAGGGGGGCGCCCGAGATGACTCCAAGACGGCCTCATGAGGCCAGACAGCCGATAGCCCCTAGACGCCTCTAACATGACCTAAGGCCGACGATAAGCTGAGATAGAAGCCCTGAGAGCAAGAGGAATACGAGTCGTTACAAACCAAGCAGGGACTAAGCTACCTGCGAGCTAAAGCCAAACTAAAGACAACCTCAAGGCAAGCTGAGCACGAGCTGGTGACTGTCAAGCTAAAAAGGGCTAAATGACTCGCACGGCAATCTAAAGCAAGCTGAACTTATGACGAACACTAAACGGCAATAACCTCTTCGGAAAATCGTGATTTCCTCGGGGCACTTCGGGGACCCGCGGGGTCACCAAACAGACAAAGCATGAATCACGCAACTAATTTCAACCATTTGATTACCAATTCCTGCCATGAGATGATTCATTTGTTTTTGCGTTCTGGATCCCTGGGAATCTCGACCCCTTTCCCAGAGCTGTTATTCCATCTCGATTCAAGAGGCTTACGCCATTCCGCCGACCCCATGAGGGATCAAGTCAACAGGTGAGCCCTTTTGGGGCCTCTTGGGGACTCGGGGGGCCTCTTTTGGGCC